TATTACCCACCGTAACTGTTACCACCTGCACTCCCATCAAACTCCAGGGTTTTAGATCTATATCGTGTATAGTATTCACGAATTGATTCTTGATATGTTACATTCGATGAAAAGGTTAAGTACGTGCAATGCTAATGATGGTAAGAAATCGGCTACCAGATTTCCCTCCTTCTTATAACAAAAAGGGTAATAATGGGCTAACGGGTATGGGTACATACGTGCGTCCGAGCATGCGCGCGGCAAATTGCGCGACGAGGTGCGTGGTGATTCGAGCGACTATGGCACCTGTCATTGGGGCTCAATTTCGAAATACAGTAGTTCAGTAGGGTCAGCTGATACTACAAAACCACTCTACTTCGAATTTGTGCCCCAATAATAGGCGCCACACTCGTTCGACTCACCACGCACTTCGCCGCGCAATTCGTCGCGCTCATCCTCGGACGCACGTAAGTTCCGTCCCTCTGGGCTAACCCACCACTGCTTCTTCAGAATAAATTGTGCCTTCACGGACACAAAATTTGGCAAAGGACCAATAGAGCGGTGTCAGTGTGTTTAGTACGTGCCGATGTTCATGCCTATAATTGAAAGTCTCGATTCATTGCTCTTCATCTCAAAGACAGGTCCCGATGATGGCTTGATCGACTGACAGTGAAGGTCTTAAATGGTACGCACTGAAGTTGTCGAGTGGTAATGTCGCACATTATCAGATTTGGTTATCAGCAAACTTTTCTTCGCTACGGACTTATCACTAATTGGGAATCCCAGACCATTGACGGTCGGAAGAGTTCAGTTACAAAAGATATCGAAACAAAAAGAAACTATGATTCACCTTCTGAGGTGCTTTATCAAGTCCTTTCAATTGTTATCACCCCTATCACATACCATCAATGTTCCCATCCTGCCCCCCTACTCCCAAGTTTGAAGTCCTAGGTCCACGAAAACAGGAGTTATGAATTCGCGGCCTAAAATTTCTATCTCGCACGCCCTGCCCCTGTAAGCGGAGTCCGGTCCTGCCACCAACCATATCTGTTCCGATCCTCCCCCCTCCACTCCTACCACGTTCGAACGCTCTAGGTCCACGGGGACAGGAGTTATGAATTTCCGGTCAGACACAAACACACACACACTCACACACACACACACACAAACACACACAAACACACATGGACACACACGGACACACACATACATACACAGACACACACATGCATACACGAGGCGATTTTGACTTTGACTAAGAGCCGACATCAACACCCAGAATCAGAAGCATTAAGTTCTCAATACCATTTGAAAATTCTGCAAAAAAAACCACGAATCTCTACTCCATGGCTCGTTCTCAAACGACTTCTTTGATTTTTACTTATACGGGGTCACAATGAAAAGTCTGTGACACAGTTACAGTAATACTCGGTGCATGTTGGTATGGGCAAGAGCATTGCGGCTGTTGGTCTGCGCATTGTGATGATGTTGTCGTAAGAATTAAGGCTCAGTGTTCAAGTTAGATACATGGTTATACTCAGCACAATTGAACATCGTTGTGGTTAAAATCGCAATGAGATGAATAGTGTGAGCCATTTCTGCTTTCAGAAGACATTGATTTTGATGAAGTGGACAAGAGGAAAGGAGAAACTTTCAAAGAACTGTTTGGCAACATGAAAGGTATTCCATACATATTTTGACGAAAAACACTTATATGGATGCAATACAGTGAAAAAACGGATACGATCAATGCAGTCTAGGTTCGAAGTAAAAAATACTGTTCTGAGGTATGACATAAGTTTCTCTGATCCCTTGGATTGACTGGAAATTTGATATTTACTGGACTGTAATGACCATCACAAAAACTTTTCAACAAGAAGTTTACACAGAAAATACTATAGAAAGAGCACCTCATGACTTTGATGAGTTTCTGTGGTTGATTTGAGACAGGGATGTACAGTTAAGGTCAACATCAATCGGCCATTACAATTCTGTTCATATCATCATTAAGTGGCAAGCGATCTCAGAGAAAAAATGAAGGTGCTGTTGCAGTATGTAAAGGACACGCACATCAGACGAAGATAGGTTCCGATAAAAACAGTACGAGAAGAACTGATTGCGATGTGTTCGTAGGTCATCTGTGGATTGACGTGAAAGATGAGACGCTTCCCAGTCGGATATCGGTCAGTCTGATTGAAGTTTTATGTTTTCTTATGGTGGTTAACCCAGCTTGGTTCGCCGTACTATTTCGCATATTGAACAATTTCGTCATCTCTTACTGCTCGTATTCAATCCCATCATTTCGAAAATGCAGTGAGAGAGAGCTTGCCTGCAGCTGGTAGTTGCATTGGAAGGGAAGCACGTAATTTCACAAAAAGAACGGTAATGTCAACTATCTTTCCACTGCCTTTTTTCAATCGTGTCGATAGTTGTATTTGTACGATGAATTCGTCGATGTTCCTCTGGACATGCCAGCATGAGACGTTTGAAGTTCTATATTCACTCTTTTTGCAATATCTCGCCAAGAGCAGCAGGACTTAACTTACAAATGCTGATAGTTTTCGAAGATGGTCCAGTCACTGTCTGCTATTGTTACTATGTGCTTTCTGACTAACATGAAATTCTTATTCCCTGTAGCGAGGATGGCGGTATTCCCCTGAAGGAGAACCCGGCGCCACGTGCATTTTACATATGGGGGATTCTATTTGCGGACCATTCTATGTTGAAACTTGAACTTTGATTAGTATTAGTTCTCGGAGTAATTTAAGAAATCTATTTTATTTCTATCATCTCTTTACGTGGAACTCATTAGCTCACATACATGCCCACCTTTTTGAATTTCAGACAGGACTTCTAGGAAAGAAGTTGGAGCCTCCAATAAGAGAATTAGGTTCACCAGGCTACTAATACTATTATAGTATTATAGAATGACACCAACTTCTGGCAAATGATTTTTAAAAATGAGCGACCTTTGTTGCTACTACACAGTTGTGATGCTAGAAGATATGTGTATTCATCACGGTCCCGCTCACTAGCCACTAAGTGAAAATAGCCGGAAATCAGTTAACATTGTTAAAGACATAGTTTGTGAAAATTTTATGTATTGTACTTCTACTACTAGGGAAGGGGACAAAATAGCACATCAGAGGCAAAGGATACGATAAAACAAGAGTCCTGAACCTGTGAGCAGTTTTTAACTACGACTTCCGCAGTAGGAAGAGATTTCACAGCGATCGAGGGTCTGCACAAGATTTTTGTCGCTGTAGATCAACGTGTGTGAGCTGTAAGCGTGTAATAGCTGTGTTTATAACAAGCATTCTCTGTGCTGTAATTCACTTCAGGTCCATTATAATGCTTCAGTTGGGCTGTGAGCACTAACTCGCGGAACACGTTTCGAAGAGATTTCTTACCTTCAATTAACGATAATCATGATTCTAGGACCTCCTTGAACTGAGTTATGAATTTTCAGCTTCGCCCGCTTTATGGACCACCCTTCCTCAGTACTCCCTCCCAATTTTTGCCGTTTTCCCACGCTTCGTTCAATGTGTGAAGCTTCGCTGAGTTTATGCATGATCTGCACTTGCTTGCTCATTCTTTCGATCACGTGAAAGTTTCTTTCATTTCATTTGATGTCCCGATCCTCACCTTTGCTCTTTATTTTCCTGCCTCTGGGTATGAAATAGGATTAGAATGCTGTTTTGTCCATGGCACCGCCTACTTCGGAGCATATTCCGACTCCGTGGGCAACGTTCTGCTGAGTTCACATGTGCCCTACCTATTTTAAAGGCACTGTTCACGAAAAAATGGTTTCGGAGATTTGCACATGGTTTGAGTTCGAAGCCCCCTCTGATACCATTTGTTCAGGAATTAGGTCGGAAAACGGCTGGATAGGGCACAATAAGGGCAGGAACTTTGGGGGACGGGATGCCTCCGCCCTCGCTAGGTTGACTACGAGTTCAAGTTGTCCTTCACCACATTCGCACTGGAGCGAAGTTGGTGAAAAATCGATACGCAGATTGGCGAATTGCCAGGAATGATCAGCTGGTCGACCGCCTCGTACAGGAGCTAGTATTCGGCTGTTATTTCTTTTATTCGCGTATCGTTTGTTTTTTTTTTGTTATTAATTTTTTACGGTAGCATTCCTTAACTATTCTCGTAAGTTTATTGAAGATTTTAACATATTTTGTGTAGATTATTGCATGCAAATGTTTTTTTATTTTAGAATCTCCGTTAATTTTGATGTGTTGTCTGTATTGCAGACATTGCGTCGCCTTCGTGCATTCTCGCTCGAACACTCCCTAAACGCAGTTTTTTCAATGTGAAATTCGTCCTACCCCCCTTTCCAGCTCTTTTTTTGACCCTTTGTAATTCTTTTTGTTCATCGTTTTTTTGCGCTTTTTTGGTTGTTATCGCTTTATTCTAGAGTAGTTCTATCAATTCCCGTCAAAAAAGGGTACCCTAACTTTTTTGTGAATAGTGCCTTTAAGTTTGTCCCGATCTCTCAGATATTTCCCAGGTAATAACGAACTTTGTGGCATTACGAGCGCGTTGTGTATAGCGGGATAGCAGGACGAAGAAGCGCATCTTTTGTGTTTGAAGTAGCCATCAAATAAGTCCATTCTCAAGAGTACGTCATTGGGTGTACGGAGGAAACTTGAGCCACAACTACGCCCCACCTGATATGCTTTTCGACTACTGCGTCAACAGATTTCACGAGGATGAGAGGCTCCCATCAATGAAAAACCTTCTCAGCCATTTTCTTCAATTTCCAAATTTTCGGATGACATTGCAACTAATCGTTCTCACACTGCTTTTTATCCAAAGTATCGTGATTGCCTCTCGGACAACAGGAACGTAAAAAATAAAAATAGATAGACAAATAAGTGAAATAAAATTACCGTTTATCTAACAATGTAAATAATTGCTTCAGTCTCGCATATCACCCTTACACCTCCGATGCTCTGTGGAACGGATACCATTTCGATCTCTCATACGGTGCACAGGTGGAGACATGAAAGTTGTAATCTAGTGGTATGAGGGCACAGCTCTGTGCAGCAATATAATTACAAGCACCTACCATTGTGTGACTCTTTTCGGAACGGAATAGTCTGGTAAACATTTTCGGTAGTGAGAGCGGGAGACTACAAATAAGCTTGTTGGACTCATTTGTCCCAGTGAATATCATGTACATGCGCTTATCCATGTCTGATAACACAGCGTGGGCTTTCTTGCTCTAGAGAATCTAGAGAGTGTCATTATCCTGCACCATAGTTAATAATGAACCAAGGAACTACTGGGCACTCTTGGTTCGTGAAGAAAGATTTTTTAGCAGAAAAGTGGTGGATGATCGGTGACCTCAATTTTGGCACGACACTTACAAACAGCTCTGTCCAGAGAACGGTCCCATGAACGGCTCTCTTGCCTTTCCTTAATGCTTAAATTTTTTATATTTGGAAGCAACTATACCTCAGGAAGCCATCCACTCCGACAGCAGAAAAAATGACCTTCTATGATGAATGGAAAAATCGATTTTATTTGTATAAAGCAAAAACTGGTTTATTTAATGGAGAAGGCACTATTACATGATGGGAAAATGAGTGAAATAGTTTTTGTTACATATGCCCTATCAATTGAATAGTTCCTCGCATTGATGTTTATGAATAGCAAACCAGCTTTCACTGGTTTCATTGATGCGAGTGTATGTATTCTAGGGGAGGGGGGGGGGGGGGGGGGGGGGNGGGGGGGAAAGATTCGTGCGTCTGGAGATGCGTCCGGCAAATTGTGCAATTCGAGGCGTTCTGAACGACTTAGCGCCTATCGTTAGACCCAAATTTGAAGTAGAGTAGGGTAGTAAGATCACCTGATCCTATTGATCTTCTTTACTTCAAACCTGTGGCCCAACGATGAACGCTAAAGTCGTTGAAATCGCCACGAATTTCGCCGCGCAATCTACCGAGCGCATCCCGGGACGCATCATTGTATCCATATCCGTATTCCAAGAGTACATTCCCTTGCTGAGGTCTCACCAATTCCGCCATCTTCTTAGGTGTGGCTGTGATTGTTATGATTATGCTTCAGATAGAACAACTTCTTTTGTAGTGATCAAACTATCACTAGATCATCATTGACGCCACGTTTGTTGGATTGACTCGCACACTCCGTCCATTTAGTTTCGCTTTTTTCCTTTCAATATAACGTCTAACTGTCCCGCCTTACATTGGGTTTAAATTTCGATTTCTATATTGCTTTTATTTTTTGGTTCTTTGGTTGTCTCCATAAGAATTTGAAGGCTGAAGTCCTTCATGCAGTCAACTTCTCTAGTATGGTTTTCAGGGCACCTGGTAAATGCACAATGCACAAGCAACGCAGAATACTCCACTTAACCCTTTGACGACAACGCCGATTTCGACGTGACGCGCCCATGGGACCACGCCCCCTTCCTTTCGTGCGCGACTGCACCCACCGGTGGGTGCCATGGTCCCAGGAGGAACTACTCTCTTGAGCTTAATAAACTTGGCAATATTTCCGCATAATAGGAGCATCAGATCTTATTTTATATTATATAAAACTGAAGTTTAGCATCGCAACTCAGGTTTGGAAGCAATGTAGGTTAGAATTTTGGTAACAGTGTAAGCAGTAGGACTTCGTATAACATACAAGAAACTTGAGGATGAAGATACCGACTGCGCGGTCACATAATCGCAAATCAGGGATACTAGGTACTGCCTCCACTTCTTCCAGGACATAAACAAACCTCGCTAAACTTCCTAAGCTTTTTCAGCACTACTCCGTTGACTATTTAAGTTTGTAATAAATAGTCTTTTAGAAATCATTCACGTGGACCACATTGAATATAAGTACTACAAAGTTTATTGATAAATATGAAAATATGAAGTAAGTTTCAAATGGGCAAATAAAGTGAAAAACATGGTAGCACCAAACATTGGGTGCCATGGTCCCATGCGCCAGTTATAGTGGCACCCACCGGCGGGTGAAATGGCCGTCAAAGGGTTAATGCACTCTCTCACTGCTCTCCGTTGCCTAAGGAGCGGTGAGAGGGCTGGGCGCTCCAGGAACGCGGATATCAACGTCCCGTGAATGTGTAACACAGCAACCCTAGCACCCCATCGCGCGAACCGTGGTCTTCGCCCGGGGTACCTTTCCTTTGCGTCGTATATGTGAC